TTAATTAAATCTAAAAACATGATTACATAGAAAAGAACTTTACAGACATTATTCATCATCATTTATGCAGACTTTTACATTGAAGCAACTCAAGATCAAGCTAAAATTTTTAAAAATCCTCAAATAGTAACCATCGTCATACTCAAAATGCATTGCATGGGTGGAAATGGATCATATGCAATATTAATAATCGTATATTTCCTAATATTTTCTATATTTCCTATAACATCAGAAAGATCAGACCCTTCTTATCTGAACATGCAGCTCAACTCCTTGTTCAAGCTCTTGTTCTCTCCAAACTGGATTACTGCAACTCTCTACTAGCGGGGCTTCCAGCTAACTCTATCAAGCCTCTTCAGCTGCTCCTTAACGCAGCAGCACGAGTGGTCTTTAATGAACCTAAACGAGCACATGTCACTCCGCTGCTCATCCTTTTGCGCTGGCTGCCAGTTGCTGCTTGCATCAAATTCAAAGCTCTGATGTTTGCCTACAAAGCGACTTCTGGCTTTGCTCATTCTTATCTGCTCTCACTTCTGCAGATCTATGTGCCCTCCAGAAACTTGCGTTCTGTGAATGAACGTCGCCTCGTGGTTCCATCCCAAAGAGGGAAGAAATCACTTTCCCGAACGCTCGCGATCAATCTGCCCAGTTGGTGGAATGAAATCCCTAACTGCATCAGAACATCACTCGCTGTTTTCAAGAAACAACTAAAAACTCAACTATTTAGTTTCCACTTCACTTCCTAATCTGCAATTGCCTCTCTGGATATACCACTAACTGTACTCAAAAAAAAAAAAATAAAATAAAAAAAATAAAAAAATGTACTAATGCTTTCCTTCTTAGACTTTACAGACCTGAAACTTGCCTATAGCACTTATTCATTGTTGCTCTTATAGTTGTGTAAATTGCTTCCTTGTCCTCATTTGTAAGTCGCTTTGGATAAAAGCGTCTGCTAAATGTAAATGTAATGTAAATGTATGTAGTCACCATTAGCAAGCTTTTAGAAGCTGGTATGGTAATCGATCATGTAAATGTACACTTTATTTATGTATTCTTTGAGCTTTGATGCCCACTGTATTAACAAATGTTTAAGCTTTTATATTTATAATCCATAGTAATTGCAGAATTGATGTTTTCTCAGCACACACATTGTAAAAATAATAACTTTTTAACTTTTTTTTTTTTACTGGCATTGTTTTATTTTTTATTAATTGTTTTATTGACTTGTTTTGGTATGTCTGATGCTTGTTGCAAGATGACCTTGGTTGTCCAGAAAGGTGCCCTTTATAAATGAATTGAACTGAATTATTATTATTATTATTATTATCATTATTATTATTATTATCCATTTCACACAATTCCTTCATGTTGTCCCAACACCAGTGGTGTAAAGTAACCAGCTACAAATACTCAAACTCCTGTAATTGAGTAGTTTTTCTCAGGAATTGTAATTTACTAGGTAGTTTATAAATGTGTATTTCTACTCTCACTTGAGTACAGCTTTAGTGCAGTATCTGTACTTTTACTCCACTACTGTCCTTCAATCTGCAGTCACTACTTTATTCTTGTATATGGGGATTAGAATCAGTCCTGTGATTCCTGTCCAATCAAATCACACGTAGAAGGTAAATCACATCATGATGAACTACCTCAAGACATGTGCTTTATAATTGAAGCAAACTGTTTGGAAGCATTAAAAGTGTCCAAGAAGATGTCCAAAATCTTTACACTCATTGACCCAGAGACTGTTTAGATGCATGTCACTGCTGAGAAGATGATGGATGTTTACTGTATGATGACCGAAATGGCCTTAAACGCCAATCAGGGACAAGATGTCAACATGACGTCAGATTGACGTTGTACCATAACGTCATGGGGACGTTGCATTTTGAACTCAACGTCAGTCCAACCTAAAACCAACCTAATATCAATGTCTGATGTCACAGCTTGAAATTGTGTGGATGTTACCACTATGATGTCTATCAGATGTTGGATTTTGGTTACCATACCTGAGGAATAAACGTCAGTATTTGACGTCAATATGACGTTGGTTTAAGATGTTGGCTCGACATTGGAATTTGGTCACTATCTACCACACACAACCTAAAATCAACCAAATATCAACGTCATTTGATGCCATTATTGGACATCAAAATAACGTTGTCCTTAGACGCTGGTGAGCCATTGAATTTTGGTCACCTGACATCACTACCTAAATCTAACCTAATAATAACGTCTTATGATGTTGTGTGCCTGCTGGGCAATAACTAAATGCACTACAGAATGTTACGTTTACACACACATGCACAAATTACATGTAATCGCATCAGCCTTTCACAGAGTAAAACCCACTACTCTTGAGTACTTTGGAAAGGGCTACTTTTTACTAATACTCTGAGTAACATATACAACAGATACTTTTACTCTACTTGCACTACATTTTTAGGCAAGTAATGGTACTATTACTTGAATATGATTTTTCAGTACTCTTTCCATCACTGCCCAACACTCTTTCATTCATTCATTCATTTTCTTGACGGCTTAGTCCCTTTATTAATCCGGGGTCGCCACAGCGGAGTGAACCGCCACTGCCCAACACTAATTGAACAAATTTAAGTGGATTGAACATAAAACAATTAATTTGTCCCAAAAATATCTCAATAATTGTGTCATTAGCTCATTTTAAATAAGTAGTAGTAAGAACAATCAACATTTTTATAAAAATCCTCAAATAATAACATATTGATGTATTTTAATAGTCGTTATACACTCAAAATGCACTGCATGGCTGGAAACGGATCATATGCAGTATTATTATTCATATGTAGTCACCATCAGCAAGCTTTTAAGACTTTTGGAAGTTAAAATCTAACAGTAATCGATCATGTAAATGTGGATTTTAAGCTTTGATGCTAACAGGTATTAACAAATGTCTATGCTTTTTTATTTATTTATTGTTTCAAGAGTTCACACTTAGATATTGCTTGACAACTGTAAGCAGGTTTGGCATGCTGTACCGGGAGAGGACCCTGAGCTCGGACATAGTTGAGCCCAGGGCTCCTGCCAGGTCCATAGAGCATGTGAGGGGAGTACGAGATCAGGTGGTTCTCGAGAGCTCCCCTTTTTTGTAAAGGAGAAAAGGAGGAGAAGGGGTGGATGGGGGGTTTCTTCGGAAAACGAAGATAAGGGAGTAATATCTAGCTAGGCTACTTATAGTGAGTTAGGATAGATCTGATTGGCTAACTAATGAGTGTAGATAGGTGGCCAGCTGCAGTCAATTATATCACGTGCTCCTCTCGAAATTAGTTTAAAAACTTCACTTATTTGGCATGGACTTCACAATTACTCTTGACAAACCAAATGCATTAAGTGTTTTAGCAGACTTGCCAATTCTCAACACTTGTCCAAGGGAGGCTTAAAACAAAATGGAATTCATTCATTTTCTTTTCGGCTTAGTCCCTTTATTAATCTGGGTTCGCCACTATGGAATGAACCGCCAACTTATCCAGCGAATGTTTAAGGAGCGGATGCAGCTGCAACACATCAATGGGAAACATTCATACACACTCATTCACACACATACACTATGGACATTTTAGCTTACCTAATTCACCTGTCCCGCATGTCTTTGGACTGTGGGGGAAACCGGAGCACCTGGAGGAAACCCGCGCCAACGCGGGGAGAACATGCAAACTCCACACAAAACGCCAACTGACCCAGCCGGGGCTCGAACCACGACCTTCTTGCTGTGAGGTGAACGTGCTACCCACTGCGCCACATAAAATGGAAATAAAATAAGTACATGTACACAACATTATAAATCTTTACATCACATTACTATGAGGCAAACACAGTGGTCAAACTAAACTCATAGTCGACTACTTATGTTTTGTTTTTAACCACATTTTAAGAACACTAATAAAAGCATTACAAATAGCTATTAATTTTAGTCTAACAATTGTATATTTATAATTTATAATTATTGCAGAAGGGATGATTTCTTAGCACATACATTGTAAAAATAATGTCTTTTCAAAGTTTTACTTTTAAATTAATTCACTTGTAAACGTACTTCAGGTTTCTTAGTAAAAATTGTAATATTGCACACTGTTTATTTTCAGTATATGCAGCAAAGCATGAAGCCGACTGCCGCAACTGATCTGGAATCAGTTTTCCATTATCTAGAAATAAGGTGTTGGGGTAAATTAGCCTAAACCAGCATTTTGGAGTTGATTACCTGTGGATGTATCTACATAACATATTTTGTGTGTGAAATATCAGGACACATGTGTATAATGACATGGGTATTACAAGGAGATTGTGTAATATGAGGACACTGCTGATGTATCCATTTATCAAAAGGCTTATAAATCATTCAAAATTAGTGTTTATTTATTTTTTGCTTTAGAACGTAAAACTGCATGGTTTCCTGTAAGGTATACACAAAAAAAATTATGTTTGTTCAAACTACATCATTACAGTAAGCTTAAACCACACAATACTTGAGTTTTATGGGACAACCTATATGTTTTATGTTGAATCCACTTCAATTTGTAAAAACTATAATGCTAACTTAATTCCTTCATCTTGTCCATTTTTTACAGTGTAGGATTGGGGTAGGGGAATATAAGTTACAGTTTATACTGTATACACACACACACACACACACACACACACACACACACACACACACACACACACACACACACACACACACACACAGTATACTCAAGCCCAGCTAACAGCTAAATGTTCTGCTCCACCTATGTTAATTGAGCTGTCTGTTAGACTGTCTATTTGACATACAAACATGAGAGACTGGTTTATTCCAGTAGTGAGCACAAGTAGGACACCGAGAAGCAAAACGAGTTATGATTTGATTGATGTATGTTCTCGTAAAGTGTCAGCTTTTGTGATACAGAGGGGTTTTTTTTGTGTGTGTGAGTGCGCTGTATAGCTTTATGACTAAACTCGCTCTATGTTTTTGTGTTTGATTGCAGGCCACAGAATCGTATCTGGTGCATGAAGGTCCCCATCGAGCCCCGGGCATCTCAGAGTGTTTCCTAGTGCCTGAATCCTACAGGGTACAAGCCTTTTTCGTATTTATTTTTATTCCCATGTGTAGTTTACACTCAAAAAAGGACTTTTGTTACTGGTTCAAATTACACTGTAAAAAAAAAAAGTTGACTCAACTTAAAATTGTAAGGCAATTTACAGCATAAGGGCGGCCTCCGTGTGCTCCGGTTTCCCCCACACATGAACTATAGGTGAGCTATAGGGGATTTGAATAAAGTAAATTGGCTGCTGTGTATGAGTGTGTATGGGGGTTTCCCAGTACTGGGTTGCACTTGACTCAATTTAAGTTGTCAACTAAAAAAGCTCTGCATCAAGTTGCCTTAAAATTGTATGTTTTTCAACAGTGTACTTATTTAAAAATAGCTGAATCAAAACAAATCTTGTTTTTTTTTTTTTTTTGGTGGGGGGGAGAGATAGCTTAATTGTTTTATGTTCAATTTATTTAAATTAGCAAAAACAATTAATATATTCAGCATAGGCTCATTCTGAAAACGAAGCCCTGTATTCATTTCTGGAGATCACAAATTATGTAGCCAGAGGAACGTATGGCTGGATTTCGTCTTTAAAATGAAAGCTACGGGGTGGTATGACGCCTCCGTGTGGATGGCTATTCCACTGTTACCAGATTGATCTTTTGGCTCGTCACGTACTTCAGAGGATTTGAGATGCAGAGCGGAGTTGACCATGACGACAGGATTTGAGGCTGGCAAAGAACGATTCCAGAAAGCAGGTAAAACAAAGCAAAAGCTAAGAAATAAACAAACAAGTAAATAACAGGGTGAGAATGTGGTAAAAATCAAGCAGCCACGAGGGCTTTTCTTTTTCTTGATTGCTTTTCAAAACACTGTTGGTTGGGTTTAGGGAAGTGGGTGGGCGCTGGTCAATCAGTGCTTCTAAAAACACTACCGGTTGGGTTAAGGAAGGGGGTGGGCATGTGTATTGGTCGGTCGGTCAGTCAATCAGACAGTCAGTCAGTTAACAGTGGCCTCTGGTGGATTTATGCGAGAACAGCAGGCATGAATGGCGATCACGAGAAAAATTTGACATCTGAAAAAGCATACCCAGCTCCCTCTGGATTCGCGAAAAACAAAAATCGTAGCTCCTGGGACGGATTTGGTGCTCTCCAGAAATGTATATAGGGGTACGTAATCAGAATGAGCCTAAGTTGAATAGATTTGTGTTGGGATGCTCTTGTGTGGAACCCAGCATTTTTTCCAATGTATAAAACGACTAACATACTGAATTAAACTTTGATTTCCTTTTCATGATGTAATTAATCTACTTTCAAGCCAGATTTATCTTCAGATCGAGATAAATAGAGTTTGAATCGATTAAGCAAACTATTAAAATAGCAGAGATTTAATCGACAGAAAAATGGATTTGATTCCTTTTTCCAACCCAGGCACATTCTGATTATGTACCCCTATATACATTTTTGGAGAGTGCCAAAAACTTCCCAGGGGGTACGTCTTTGTTGCAGTTTTTATTTTCGCAAATCCACCAGAGGCTGCTGTGTACGCTTTTTAGATCTCAAATTTCTCTCACGAGTGCCATTTGTGCCTGCTGTTCTTGCGTAAATCCACCAGAGGCCGCTGTTGACAGACTGACTGACTGACGGATCGACTTGCCCACCCTCTTCCTTCTCTGAACCCAACCAATAGTGTTTTCAAAAGCTCCTTTTGACCCGCCCACCCAGCCGACAGTTTTAAAAAGCAATACAGAAAAAAAAGCCCTTGCGGTCGTCTGTTTTTTACCATGTTTTTAGATTCTCACACATTCTCACCCTGTTATTTACTTGTTTATTTAATTTTTCTTATCCACTTAATGGAATCGTTCTTCGCCAGACTCAACTCCTCTCTGCATCTCAATTCCGCTGACATAAGCGGCGAGCTAACTGGACAAACTGGTTACTGCGGGAAAGGCGTCCATACGAAGGTAAGCGGTCAGCTAGTTAGCGCGAAAAGGAGCAGTGTCGTATCGCCCTGTAGCATTCGTTTTAAAGTTGAAGTGCAGCCATACGTACTTTTGGCTACATATTTTGCGCTCTCCAGAAATGTATATAGGGCTACGTTTTTTAGTATGAGCCTGTGTTTTGCCTTTTCAATTTTGCACACTAAAAAAACTAACTTTTTTTTTCGAAAGAGCTGTAAAAAATGCAGTGTCCCACACAATTAATTAATGCTGTCCCAACATAAACCGATTAAGTTAACAAATTTAAATGGATTGAACATAAAACAATTAAGTTGTACCCAAAAAAATCTCAAGAATTGTGTTATTTTGGCTCATTTTAAATAAGTACAAGCATCAAAAATACATTTTTCGAGAGAATACGCGCACACATGCATCATAAATCTGCCTGTTTATACTCTCGTATGCTGCGTTTATACGTTCGTATGGTAAGACGGTGGTTAGCGTTGAGAAGAATGCCGAGTTTATGTGGAGGAGCAGCTGCAGGAATTATCTACATAAAATATCATTATTTAAGAGCAAGCCACAAGGGAAGGGTAAAAAGCAAAGTGTGTGTGTTTGTGTTGGGATAAAACCACACACACCGACTATATCGCTTGCATATGGTTCTCTCATGTGAGTTTTAATGGAAACTGCAACCGCAAGCCGACCGTGGGTCTGCTTAACAAAGAACTGGGTGTGTGTGCGTGTGCGTGCATGTATGTATTTGTATGTGTGTGAAAGTATGCGTGCGCTGAAAGCAGGACTGCTTTTCATGCTATGTTGTAGAGTAATGGCTGGGAGATCTGTGTGTGTGTGAAACACGAAGACTGTGGTTTTGGATTTGTGCCCTTCTGTGTGGTAATGCCAACCTCTGTGCCCTTTCTCTGACCTTGCTCTTTACCAGGAATGTCAGTGTTTTTGTTGATTTTCTTGTTGTGTCGGCTGCTTTGCATATTCATTATTCCAATTAACGTGCAACTCATAAAGGTTCTTTATTGGCATCGACGGTTTCATGAACTTTCCAATTCCCATTCCTTGAAATTTAATTCCCATTCCTCAAAACAAATGGTTCATCTTTTTAAGTTTTTATTTTATTTTATAGTGATTCTTTATTTCTTTTTTGGCATTAAAGCCACAGAATAACCATTTTTGGTTAGAGTAGAGTTAAAAAAACAGAAGTTATGTTAAATTAAAATGACAATCTCTGTTAAAGGCATTCCCCTCAAATTCTACATCCTTCTCCATCATCCGTCTCAGATGGGATGGAGGGCCAAATCAAAGCTTACCGTGGGTCAGCTTTGGCCAGCGGGCCCTAGTTTGGGCATCTCTGCTTAAAGGCAACAGGATTACTTGCATATGTTAGGTAAAGTCAACTAATCAGTGGCCAGCATAGTGGGTAGCACAATCGCCTCACAGCAAGAAGGTCACTGGATTGAGCCCCGGCTGGGTCAGGTGGCGTTTCTGTGTGGAGTGTGCATGTTCTCCCCATGTTGGCGTGGGTTTCCTCCGGATGCTCCTGTCTCCCCCGTAAGTTCAAAGATATGTGGTATAGTTGAATTGAATAAGCTAAATTGTCTGTATGTGTGTGAGTGAGGGTGTATGGATGTTTCCCAATGGTGGGTTGCATCTGCTGCGTAAAACATATGCTGGATAAGTTGGCGGTTCATTCCGTTGTGGCGACCCCTGATTAATAAAAGGACTAAGCCAAAAAGAAAATCAATGAATGAACTAATCGGTTTAAAAGCAGTAGGTTTACTCAATTATTTTAAGTAATTTCTACTAATCATTTTTTTTTACAGTGAAGGAACCACAGATGCCAGCAAAGAACCTTTATTTTTACGAGTATACGACAAGAAATAGGTTGTAGTGCTCATTTCATCTCAATCAGTATTTTTTTTCTTAATCTATAAACTGTTAATTATGACCATGGTCAAATCCGCCTTCTTGACCTGTGGTTGTCATTTCTAAAACAATCCCCAGCTCTAAATTCCAAGGTCTGCTTTCACAGATGTTGATTAAGCTTTGTGCTGGATTAAGCCTGTAGTCCTGGATTAAAATGGGCCGTAATTTGTAAGTCCCCTTTGTGGTGTTGGCTTAAGCGGCCCATGAGAATGGCGTCCTAATAAAAGAGCAGGCTAATCTGCCTCTTAAAGTTTGACAGCAGAGGCACAGCAGAGTTTCACGGCTGGAGAAGGTGCAAGATAAGCATAGTTGAGCGTGCCGCTAGGCAGCCTGGGCGCTGTGGTTTGCCACAAAACAGATGTGGATTTAGGAGACCACCCTGCAATAGTGTAATGCAGGATCGGGGCCTATAGATGAGTCATAGAAAAAGAAAGAGGAGGGAGAAACGGGTTCCTTACCTTACATTAACTCGCTGAAGTAAAGCCTGCAGCATTAGTATTGCGTGTTACTGTAAATGCAGGCCGCTGACGACAAGAATGCAGTCTTTCCTGCTGCCATTGATCGCGCTTTGCATAATTGCTTGGAATTTTAAAATGTGTTTTATTCTAGGTTTGTGTTTTTGCAATGCATTAATAAGATAATATAGTAGTTAAAGCGTTTTATTCTAATGGCCAGTGCAGTTTGAAGCCAGAATTATAAACCCTCCTGTAAAATGTCAATGATTTTATATTCATTTCCCCTTTTTTGTTTAATGGAAAGATTTTTCCAAGACATTTCTAAACATTATGTTCCTAATAACTGATTTGTTTTATGTTTGCCATGATGACAGCACATAATATTTGACGAGATCTTTTTCAAGATACTATTGTACAGCTTAAAGTGACATTTAAAGGCTTAACTAGGTTAAAGCTAGTGTACTAAGGCAAGTCAATGTATTACAATGGTAAGCTCTGTAGCCAATAAAAAAAATATTGCTTAATATTGACCTTAAAATGTTTTTAAAAAGAAAAAACTGTTTATTTTAGCCAACCTAGCCGATAATATTTTCTCTTGAAGAAAGAAATAGGAAACACTTTCATAATTTAAATTAAATATCACCTTCAGTAAGAATAAATATTGCACAGGAGGGCTAATAATTTCGCCCTTTTTATGACAA